ATATAAAGTTTACATTTATCACTTCACAATATGTCAACAAGATTTATTTTTTTTATATACCAGATGAAGTATTATCATGCCATTATTAATTTTTGACTATGATTTCATCTTAATTTCATTTGCTTTTTGTTACATTATTAGTATTAATAGTAATATTATCTAGCATTTTATTATTATTAGATGAAGCATTGTCAGCCATTCATTTTTGACTAGGATTTCTTTTGTGTTAATTTCACTTATTTATTATTAGTATGATTAGCAGTAATATTGTTGAATTTTATTATTATTAGATGAAGCATTGTTCATTTTTTGACTAAGTTTCTTTCATCTTAATTTCACTTGCTTTTTATTACATTAGTAGTATTAGTAGTAATATTATCTTGAATTTTATTATTATTAGATGAAGCATTTTCAGCCATTATTCCTTTTTGACTGGGATTTCTTTCATCTTAATTTCATTTACTTTTTATTACATTAGTAGTAGTAGTAATGTAGAGGTTGTGTAGTGGTTATCAGCATAGGAATAAATTCAGTGAACCAAGTTTAAATTCAGACCTAGTTTGTTGCATTTACTTTTACACAAATGCCCTAGGGAATAGCATAAATCTATTTTGTCTCCTTCCAGTTGAGGATTAAATAGCAAGGAAGACTAGGCTCTCAAGCCTTGGATGTTAACCAGTCTATGAGAGGGACAATCCTGAATTCAAAGCTGTGGAATAGGTTTCCTTGTAAACAGTCTTTATTATTTCCATACTGACCAAAAATTCTTACCGACAAAAAGTGTAGGTCATCTGCAAGGAACTCGGCTGCTAGAGCAAATGAAAGTGCAAAAAGAGCAGAAGCAATTTTATGAAAGAAAGAACAGATATCTGTCTCTCCGTGGCTGACTCTGTCACGGACCCGAGGCCCTTCTGGATACACAAACAAATCATGGAGCAGATCCTAAAAAAAAAAAAAAACAAATATGGCTGTAATTATTGTATGAAGTTCTAGGAAATAAAGGTATTTTTATGATTTCATCTATTGGCAGCCTTTGTACCATGGACACAATGGTGTAAGACTACTCTATTGCTATTTCTATGACAAATGTTGAGGTGAAATAGCTAGGGCAAACCATGCTACTTCCATAGAGTTGAATCACCTTTGGTTTGATTTGGTTTGATTTGGTTTGATTATAGCATTGTCATATAGGAATAAAGTGTCACTTCTGACATTTGGACTTGAACATGGATCACCAGAGAGCAAGCACAGTCGACCTCATCTTGACATAATTACATCACATGATGGGTAAAGGAAATATATATATATATATATATATATATATATATATATATATATATAAAATTAGCGGCGTCTGACAGAGTATTGTTTAAAGGTGTTACTATTGTTGTATCTGAAACTTACAAAGTCTCTCCTACAAATGGGCATTACAAAAGGCATATCAACTTCAGTGGGTTATTTAATGCCGACACGATTTTTATTGCCACTAATATTTTTTTTTCCAAAAATGTATTGCTGGTAATATTTTTTTCTTCAAAAATTTATTGCTAGTAATATTTTTTTTACAAAAATGTATTGCTGGTACTAAAACCTATTTTTACACTTTCATTATGTTTTGACCCCAGTTTGAGGTTGACTTTTTTTCCCATAGCCAGGACCCTAACAGGTGCTACCACCTCAGGTTAGAGTGGACCTGGGAACACCAGCAATTAAGAGGTGATTCCATGCTCCTTAAAACCTCCTGATCAGAGGCCTTGCTGTTGGATGTAGTTTATTGTCATACCCAGGATGCTGAATCACCCTTGTTTCTCCTGTGTTAAATATATAAAAAGAAAATTTGCTGGATTTTTATTTTTGTTAACTATTTCACCCCAAGCAAGGCAATAATGTCACTAGGATGCAAGGAGTTACAGTGAATGAAAGAGAATGAGAAGGCCTTAGTAAGGAAAGGACAATAAAGGAACAGAATTCTGGAAGACAGAAGATGGTGATTGACATTACATTTAAAGTTCTGAGGATTGCCGAGACGTAAGAAATCAGAAGAGAGTTTCATATGTGAGAAGTGCAAGAAAATAATGTAAATGATAAAACAAGTTCTAAAGAAATAAAGATTCTTTGTGACAATCAGTTTAACCAAACCATAAGAGGAGAAAGTAAGTAAAGATTATGAGGATAATTTTTTTCACCCCAAGCAAGGCAACAATGTCACTAAAACACAGGGTGTGAAAGAGAATGAGAAGACTTTAGTAAGGAGAAGTAAGGAATGAACAATAAAGAACAGGATTCAGGAAGACAGAAGATGGTGATTGGTGTTGCATTTAAATTTCTGAAGATTGTAGTTGTCAAGGAAGCAAGAAATTGAAAGGGATTTCCACAGGTGAGAAGTGTGAGAAAAGAAACTGTTAGAATAAAAGAGACGGTTGTATTTAGCTGGTTCAACAGTAAAATGGTGAGACTTATTTGCTAATCTAGTAGTACGTTTAAATTCATTCAGTCAAGGCACCAAGGAGAACAGCTCATCCAAATAGTTGCCATCAAAATATTTGTAGAAAAGACAGAGGGAAGCCACGGCAAGAAATTGACTAAAGTCAAGATGCCTGGTCAGGACCGATTACATCACAGACCCTTTTTTGAATTTTGTCAAGAATCTTGAGATATACAGCAGGAGCACCAGACCAGCTATAGCAGCAGTTTTCAATGTGTCATGGGTCTTTACCTATAACTACAGAATGAACTCTTCCTAACACTATGTATACTACGCCTCTCAAGAGAGAGGGTCGAATCGAGTCGAGCCGATAGTAGTTCACTCCAAACCAGATTGACAGTCATACTAACACCTTCTATATCTTGTATTATTATTTTATGTAATATACCTTTGTTATTTCTACTCTAGTGTTCGTGTTGTTCTTCCTTGGTCCTAACCTGGACCATAACACAATGCATGGATGCATGGTAGATTTATAAATGTGCAAGGTGGATTCTGACTAGAGAAAAAAATGTCTGGCATGATACAGTGAACCAGTTTTCCTAGCAGTAGATGTAGCAATTGATTCAATATAGTCACTCCACTTCATATCAGTGGAAAACATGAGCCCAAAAAGGTGCAAAGCATTGCTCTCTTGGAGTTTAGCATCAGCCATGCTGATGACAAGCAGAAAAGGTTCTCTGTGGTGATTAAATGAAAGCAGTTTGATTTTGGAGGCATTGAAATTTACAAGTCATTTCCTGCCCCAGTTAACCACAGATTGAAGTTTCTTTTTGAGAACAGCTGCCAGCTTTACTCTGTGGAATATGTTGGAGTTGCTACTCAGATTAGGAGTAAATAGTTGTGTCATCTGCATAAATAACTAGTTGGGAACTGTTGTCATCAAGAAGACTGTTAATGAAGATCAGAAACAGTGTAGGTCCGAAGATAGAGCCCTGGGGTCTCCTGCATTAGTACGAAATTATCTACAAAACATGACAATTCAAAAGAACCTTCATTACATGCTAAGAGCAATCAGATTAAGCCAAATATTTATCCCATGGCATCATAGTCTTTGAGGTTACAGGGAAGGCAGCATGTCAAATTCTGCTAAACAATTTTGAGATGTCTAAAGCGACAGCCTGAGTTTTGCCGTTCTTATCATCTAAGCATGTGCAGTGGCCCTTGAAGCTACAGGGAAAGCTAGCATACCAAATCCTGTCAAATGATCTTGAGATATCTAAAGTGACAGCCCAAATTTTGCTGTTCTTATCTAAAATTTGTACAAAAGGTACTGTGACAAGAAAATCATTTTTTATAAAATATTTTTTTCATATTACTACAGATTAAGCCATCCAAACAGCAAATATCCCCCCAAAAAGAAAAAAAAAATCAAATATTATAAAAATTAATGGGGTATCCAAGGTGTAACATTATAGGTAACACTTTGGGTGGAGGGATCTAATTTGCTATTATTGTAACTTGATCTTACAGAAGTCAAAACAAAATATGTTCATACCACGTGATCTATATATAGGTAAATAATCCAAGTGAATCCTAATAATATAAAATATTAAAACTGATCCACAAAAAAAGCTCTATGTATTTATTATAACAGAGCATATAAATTACATAGAATAAAAATCCAATGTTACCTCATTTGAATAGCAATCTCAACCCACAAGTAAGTTTTGTGGGTTGAAATAGCTATTTGAATGAGGTAACTTTGGATTTTTATTCTATGCAATATCTATCTATCTATCTATATTATTCAAGTTGTCTTTTCTACAGATATATTCTGTGAACTTACACACACGCACACATATTTCTGTTAGTCCATTCATCTCTCCCACCCACTAAAATAGCCATACATTGATTGATCAAAACCAAATTTTGGGGAGAAGTTCAAACAGGTAAGAGGGTAGAAAGTACAGTTAGTTTTATTCAGGTGTGTATCTTAGTACAATAAATTTTCATTCATTTTTGGGAAAAATTAAAAGTTTTATTATTTAACATGCAAAATACTCTCACTATTTTAAAATCAATTTAATGATTAAAATAATAAATACTTATTTACATTATTTGGACTATTGTCCTCATCTTTGTTGCCATATTTATCTGATCATTCAGTATCTGTCTATATTTCTGAGATGAGGCATTATGTACATTATTTACATTATTCAGACTATTGTCCTCATCTTTGTTGCCATATTTATTATATTTATTTAATATTTATTATTATTATTTATTGTAATAAATATGGCAACAAAGATGCGGACAATAGTCTGAATAATGTAAATAATGTACATAATGCCTCATCTCAGAAATATAGACAGATAACAAATACTTATTTAATAAAAATACAATATTGTTTGTTGCATATCTTTTTGTAAGTTTTTATATTTCATTGATTGGTTTATGAAACTGAACAAAATGTAGAGTTTGTATGTCTTGACAAAAATACTTGACAACAATACTAAATATTGTGAGAATTTCAACACGTTAGCATGTTGCAAAAACATTCTAGTACTTGAAAATTTTAACAATCTTAGGACTCGAGATTAAAAAATAAAAATACAAATTTAAACATTTTAAGAAATCACAGAGTATGCATATTTTTTGTTTTTGCTAAGGTGGGGGGGGAAATAATTTTACAATGAATTTACATAGCAAACTAGACACACTATTAACTTTTATAAATGTTAATAATAAAAATATTTTCATATCCGTGCGAGTGCTTAATCTATGGTAACTTTAAAAAAGTATTACTTCAGGTTACAGTGCCTATACATCCTACTGAAAATTTGACTCACTTTTTCCCCAAGGACTGACACTTTGTGAAACAGACACCAACGTGTGTGCTCTTCAAACATTATAAACTTAACGTCTTTGAGTCAAGTGTTAGTTGTTAACTATCCCCATTATCTTTACAATTTTCACTTCCTATCACCTTCTCTTTCATTCATATCACATACCACATACATCATTATCCTTTTAACATTAAACCTCTACCTTGAGTAGCTTTTGAGCCTCGTACTGGGTGAATTTTAAAGTCATTTGAAGTTTCAAAAAGAAATCTTGTCATTATTCCAGGAACAATACAAGATTGGGGCGTGATGTCAGAGAGAGAGAGAGTAATTCAATCTATTTTCCCTCTCAGGCATGACTTGACATAATGATATTTGGCAAAGTTTAACATATGAAAAGACCTCCTGCCCACACAAAAAAAAGTCTGTCAAAAGAACATTTGTTTTTTCTCTTGACAACATTATTACTGTATACTCCCTCAGCAACTTTTATTACAGTGTAACCCGGATATAAGAGAGATTTTCTCTGGTCCCAAAGTGTTCCCATACTTACCTAAACACAATAGACCAAACCCGGATATAAGAGAAACCCGGATATAAGAGACTTATTCTCCGGTCCCGACAACTCTCTTATATCCGGGTTACACTGTATTTCAAAAAGCTATTTTTAGAATTTTAATAAAACCCAAACGTATGAAACTGGATTTTTATACATTCTCTTTTTTCTCGAGAACTGACAGCAAAAATGTTAAGCAATATTTATTTATTTGATTGTTTATATATAAGATTAAAAAAATTGTGAGAAAAATAATTTTTTTTTTACAAGAGTTTAGAATTTAACCTGCAAACTATAACAATAAATTACTTTATTAGTGTAATAAAAGCAGAAATATTAAAAAGCTTTTCATAACAAAATAGAAACAATTCATAACAAAAAAGAGGGGTCACCTTGACGTGGTATTGGCAAGCATGTATCGCTAGAACCATTACAACTGTGTAGTGAGTTTGATCCTCACTGGGTGCCCCATACTTTTGGTCTTGTGCCATATCTAAGCTACACTTAGAAAAATCACCATTTGAGCAATTCAACATGGTGTAATGGTTAGCAGGCTTGTCTCACTTGATCAATTATGACTGAATAGTGAGTTTGATCCTCACTAGGTACCCCACAATTTCAGCCTTGTACCATATCTAAGCTACACTTAGAAAATCTTCAATGTGGTTAAATGGTTAGCAAGCTTGTCTCGCTAGATTGATTACAACTGTATAGTGAGTTTGATCCTCACTGTGTGCTCCATATTTTCGGCCTTGTGCCACATCTAAGCTAAGCTTAGAAAATCACCATTTGGCACCTTGACATGGTGAAATGGTTAGAAAGCATGTCCCGCTAGATCAATTGCGACTGAATGGTGAATTCAATCCTCACTGGGTGCCCACTATTTTCGTCTTTGTGCCATATCTAAGCTAAGTTTAGAAAGCCACCATAACAAAAAAAGGGTTAACAAAAACTGTATATACCACCGTAAAAAGGCAATACCAAAGTATAATAACAATTAAAAACAGCCACACCTATCAATGAATAATTCTGTCTGCCTAATTTCCCTCACAAGGCTTGGGCCAACTAGTAGTATGGTTTTCAGGCACTTTCCAAAGTTGCTGCACATGTGGATCACCTCATCAAGCCGATAACATCAGTAAGCTGAATTCCTGATATATCGATCATGGTGAGATTCAAAGCTAGTTTTCATGGTCAGAAAGCAAACATTGAAACCAGTTGGCCAATGCCATGTGTCCAAGGATGGGGATCCAAACATCTGAATCCTTTGGAAAGTGACTGGAAACCATACCAGGGGTTGGGTACGTGGTGTGGCCGACTGTTTGAATGTTTTTTTTTTTTTTTTTTTTTTTGCCCGAGAAATGTTTTTAGTGAAATGTTTTGCTTACCATTGTAGAAGGATGAAGTAAATCTTTTAATTGGTTCTCTTTACCGTCTGACAGATATTTTGACAAGATCTAAAAATGAAAAAAGATAAAAATATATCCAATAGATTGTTATGCAGAGAGATATTTGTAATATGATCTCAAATAAAAAAAATAAAAGATTGATGAGAACCAGACATGAATAACATTTTTTTGAGATGTGGGCCAAATTATATATATATATATATATATATATATATATATATATACAGAGAGAGAGAGAGAGGGTTATAGTATAGGGCAGGCCACACTACTAAAAAAAGAACCAGACATGAACAACATTTTTTTGAGATATGGGCCAAATTAGACATATATATATATATATATATATATATATATATATGACTATAGAGAGAGAGAGAGAGGGGGAGAGAGAGAAGAGGTTATAGTATAGGCAGGCCACACTATTAAAAAGCAGATTCAAAATAATATTTCGTTGAAGGTGCCTCAGCTATTTTCACCACAGAAGACTATATATGTAATCGCCTTAGAAAGTGTTGATTGGCTTTTGGAAAAAAGATTTTTCAACAATTAAAAAAATGAAGTCTTGGTATAATATTATCGCACATGACAGCGATTCACATACAGCTGTGTGTAATTTGTTTCTTATTTATTTATTTGAAAATATGAAAAATAATTTCAAAAATAAAAAGTATATTTCTTCTCCAGAGAAAAAAAAATTATTGTGAATATTTCCCGTTCCTAGAGTAAAAGACGTTTACATGATCATCCTTAGTGAAAATCGGTAATGGTTTAAAATGATGAGAATGTTACCATCAACGAAAAGTTACAAAATTCAAGAAATTGTTGTTCATGTGAGAAAATGTGAGTGAACAAGTGAGAATGAAAGAAAATTTTTAATAAATGTTATTTTTGTCATGAAATTATGCGTGCCATTCATAAAGCCAAACAGGCCATATGTGGTCCATGAGTTGCAGTTTACCTATAACTAATATAAACTATACTCATATCCAATTAATCTCTTATATTTTACAGAATTTTATGATGCGCAGATTGTGTAACAGCAGCTTGCAAAGAGAAATCAGCGAACCGAGTTCAAATTCAGTCAGAATTTGTTAGATTCATTTTCACAAAAATACACTTGGAAAAGGTATGAAATCATTGCTTTCACTCCACCACCATGAGGTAGGTTTTAAATATCAAGGTAGACTGGACACTCTTGCTTGCACGTCAGACAGTCAAGGAAAACTGAATTCCACATCATGGAGGAGGTAACAGGAAACCACTCCACTATCTTTCCCAAGAAGTCATTACAATTCACAGATAATAAGGAAAAGAAATCTTTGGAGAGTCATGATCACCTACATCTTGATGGGATATAGCATTTAAAAAAATGTGTTTTATTCATGACTTAAGTGTATATCATATACTTATAGAGCTATTCCATGAGCGTGTGTGTGTGTAAAAAAGGTATCTCCAGTCACTATTTGAAGTTTCATGTATATGTTAGCACACAATCCTCAGGCTGCTGACCTTGTTTGCTGTTGTGTAGGTTTCAAATCCCCACAAGGGAAAACACAAAATGGAAATTCCTGGGTATTTAGCACAATGACTAAACTCACTGTGGTGGATACTGAATATCTGATAGATGGCAATCACAGGGCATAAAACTGTTATGGTGAAACACACCTATTCTATAGTTAATAGACTCTCCCACCTAATATAAGTAGGAGTAGTAAGAGAAACGAGAGTCAGTCAATGTCGGACGACAGTAGTCGACAGTTAGTCAAATATGAAAGTAGTCAGCGACCACAACAAGATTACTCTGCATAATACCTATTATATCAAGTTCCTAATGTTTTGTACGTCAAACTATTTAGGACTGATTTAGTACAAATACAAGCCACCACTGCGAAATAACTCCACAAAAAAACCCATAAAAAATCAGCTCTTAGTGGCTGGACAAAGGAGACACCTTTTTTAAAAGTAATATTTGTTCTGCTATGACAAAAGCATTGAGTACTTTTTGTCTCCCCAATGTGTGGTTTTCTACCTTTAACTGAGTGATTTACTTATGAAGTATATATATATATATATATATATATATATATATATATATATCAGTTAATTAAATTGATAAAGAGGCATTTGAAGCAAGCAGGCTTTTATCGTAGAGTGCTCAATGTTGAAAACAGGGATAGAGTGTTAATAGAATTAATATATATAAGTTAATTCTTTGCTAATTATTTTGCAACTCAATATATTGAAAAATCAACAAATGAGTTTTCAGTGGACAGGAATAAAGGCAATGTTTATAATCTTACTGTGGGAAAGCAGTGTAAATGTAGAAAAAAATGATCCAGTATACAATATTTATAATATAAATGCATTGAAAAATATTCTAATATACATATATATATATATATATAGGGAAGAGTTTATAGTAGTTCCAATGAGAGAAAAAGTGTTGTAATGTAGATTTAAAAAAAAATATATTATGCTTAAAAAAAATTTTTGCTTTAAGTGGGCTGATTTAAAATCCAACAGACCCAATGGCTCCTATATATATATATATATATATATATATATATATATATATATATATATATATATGACTCTCCCATCGGATTCGGCATATGAGGGTCAAACAGATCAGTTCAAGAAAACTGACAGCCCGACAACATACGTAAGATTTGATTATAGTGGTGAAGGTTTTGTGCAGGACCATCCACACTTTTGAAGGACTGAATACAAAGACCTGGTGCATTACATGACCCTCCATGAGTTTTGAATTCAGAGTTGTCCTTCTCCTAGACCAGTTGCCATCCAAGGCTATAAAACCCAATCTATCCTGCTATTTACCCATAGCTGGAGGGGGAAGAAGAGGATTCATACCTTTCCCAAGAGTATTAGCACGTAAGTGAATGTAATGGATTCAACTGGAATTTGAACTCGGCTCTCCGATTCCTCAATCCAAGCTACTATCCATTACCCCACCGTGCCTCCTATATATATATATATATATATATATATATATATATATATATATATATATATATATATATATATATATATATAGTCTACCATGAAAATAAAAATTCCAAATTCTTCAAGTGCTCTACAGAAAAAAAAATAAAACAAACATGATAAGATTAATTATGAGTATAACAACGTTTTAAAATGCTTATAAAATTTACATAGGGAGTAAATAGGGAGCACTGCAATTTGGAGTCATATTATACTGTAGGATGTTTTTAGATTCAGAAACATGGGGTTGTATTATACTCAAGAAAATATGGTACTTAGCTTCTTCTTCAGGATGTAGGTGATCATGACTCTCTACAACTTCTTATCCTTGGTAACTCTTAGTAATGTTTTTCATTTTAATATTCTTCCCCCCACTCTGCTGTCATCCATTTACACAAGCTTGTGAGGCAGGTTACTTGCTGTTTCTCTCTGTCCCACTTGCTTTTAATATGTCTTGTGAGTTTCAAATTTTCTAGGCCTCCTTTTCTTATTATCCGTCTCAAAAATTTCAACCGTCTCTTTCCAATTTTCCGGTATAATTATGCTTTTTGTTTCCATTTTCCTTATAACTTCCTTATTACTTGTATGTTCTGTCTATGGTATTCTCAGCATCCTTCTGTAGAAACAAGTCTCTGTTGCCTCATGTCTTCATCTCTGAGGAAACTGTCCAGAATTCACTTCCATATAGGAGGACTAATATTACATCTATTTTCAGTTACTTAACTACAGATGAGAAAGCTGACCACTTATTTTAATTATCTGAAGTTGCTGTGGTCAGGACAGAGAAAATTTTGAAGGGCAACCCAATATGACCCACTAGCCATAGTTTAGATACCTCTTAGTGATACAAGAGCTTTGTAACAATGATATAATGATCTCCCTATCCTTGATTTCTTTCCATCTAATCCTGAACTGCACTAAACATGGCTTAGTCAATATCAGTTGTAAAGTAGGAATCAGATAGTCTTTTTAATTTTTCAATGGTTTTCATGACGCTATCTTAAGCATTGTGAACTTTTCTCTGTGGTAATTTGACTTTATGAATTTAAGTTCAGTGCTAGACTGGCGGTAAGGTCTCGTCATTTTACAGTTGACATGGCTCGATGTAACTGTAAGTTCTATGCTAACAGTTTTTTCTCTCACTTCTCACTTGTGGAACTCTCTTCTGGCTTCTTGCTTTCCAGTCAATGTTTATCTTCAAAAATTTAAAAGCAATGTCAATTTTTATCCACTGTCTTCTTAATTCTTGTCCTTTTATTGTTCTCTCTCCTTAACCCATCAACTGCCAAATTTTTTTAATGTGCATTTTTGGCCCAGACAGGTGTCTTAGGAGTTAAAACAACATACAGTATTAAAATTTTCTTCGAAACTTTATAGAAACTAGAACATCAAATATATGCGTATAAAATATCCAAAAATAATATTGATTAGAAATAATAAAAAAAATACTTTTCAAAATAGTCATCATTTTTCTGCTTGTGAAATGTAAAATCATGACAGAAAGTGTCTTCTATGATTAGTTACAGCTAATAAAAAAACTTTAAAGGCTAAGTGTTGTAAAATACACCTCTGCAAATGCAATGTATGTAAGCAATTCAATGTAGATACAAGGAATAACATGTAGCGAGTTTAATTTTAACAGATCCCTCATGGCAAGTAATGGGTTAATAGATTTTTTTTCTTTTATTCTCTAACAGTCAATAACCCTTGTGTCTTAGTGGCTTTATTGCCTTGCTTAGGGTGAAATGATTAAACAAAAGAAGAAAAGTACATTGAGCAATGAAGAAATTTTAAGAGGAACAGGAATGAAAAGGACATTCTTGCTTAGAATCAGAAAGAGACACTTGAAAATTCTGAGACACATAATGAGGAAAGGGGTTTGGAGAATCTGACACTCACAAGGCATATTAAAATACAAGAGGATTTAGATTTGTTTTTTTATTGCTTAATTTATTTAAAGCTGAAACATATTTTTGGGACTTAACTGTTTTTTGTCACTGAATATTGCGTTAACAATTTTATGGCGATAACAATGATTTTTTTTCCAGATAGAAATCTTACTATTTAACCCATAGGTGGGAGGAAACAAGTGGTACCTTTAAAGGAGCAGAGAGAGGCAATGAGTAACAGAGCAGGCTTGTGTAAATGGATGATAGAACATGCACAGAAAGGGAAAGTAAGGGGTCAAACATTGCTTAGTGCTAAAAGCATAGGAAGTTGTGGAGAGCCATGACTGCTCATGTTTAGAAGGGCGCAACATATTTCTTGTGTAGTTTTCAGCTATAAAAGACTTGTTCAGCAAAATGGACTAAAGGCACATTTTATACTTCGAGAAAGAATAAAGAAATTAAAGTAAGATATTTTTTTATTTACATCATCAAGATTATCATCTCCCCCTCCAAAAAAAAAAAAAAGATTACAAACCTAAAAAATATTTTCTGGCTTTAAATAACCTATGAAGGGTTGATAAGACTGTAGAAAATAAATCACCCAACCAACTTACCTCATCAAGGGTAGTATACAGCACACTAGACTGAAATCAAAGATATATTGTAAGGTTAGTGATTTTTGCTTTATAAACATTTAAATATTTATTACATAGCTAAATAAATATGTTATGTTACCCCAGCAATGGGTTAAATAGCAAGATAGATTGGGCTTTAGTTGGCAATCAGTCTAGGAGAAAGAAAACGCTGAATTCATAAATTCAGGTAGATGGAACTCAATGTAAGAATACATGGTTGCCTAAGAGAAGGAAAATTCCAACAAGCTTTGATATAATCAATATTGAATGATCAAAAAATATCATAGGTATATTGCCAAAATTCTGTTTGGGCAATTAAACACTTTCTTCATGTACTAAATGTTCACCCAGTACAAGGCCTATGAGCTACTCAAGGTAGAGTGCTATTTAGTAAGGTTGTTGTATGGACATAAGAGATAGAAATGAGTACAGATTATGAAGATGTGTAGAGTAGATAATGGTTGGCTCTAGACTTGGTTAAGGTGTGTAGTGATCGAGAAAGCATCCTCTCAGGAGACATCTCTACAAAGTAATGGTTCTTGGGAAGAATTTGTTCAAATGGAACTTCTTTCTTACAAATGGAATATAAAGGGAATGAGGATGATTTAAACCTTTAAACATGGGATGGGAGGTCTTAGCTATAGAGGTCTGGACTGGTGAAACTGTACAATTGTCATGATAATAGCAACATAGTAGTTATAGGTTTGCAATGTTTTGTTTGTGGGAAAGGGGTTGTAGGGTGGAAAATAATTCATTAACCAGAAGGCTATGTAGAGGTTTTTGAACTCTGTCATGGCTGGAAAGTGAGGATATGGCAGCAATACTCCATCTTGGCTCTAATCTGACTCTTGTAAAGATGAAGCATGGCAGAAGGACTGGAAAGTGGGGATTGTGCAGCTCCAGCCCAAACATGGCAGCAATACTCCATTTTAGGTCTAATCTGACTCTTGTAAGGATGAAGCATAGCAGGAGTCGGATATTTTCTGGAGCTGGACAAGGGACCAAACATTTTTTCGGCATTTTTAGCGATGGATTTTATAAAGATGATAAAAAATTGTTATCAAATGTTTCTATGGCATTATAGCTGATCCATTCTTCAGTCACTTTTTGTTATCAGCATAATGTTTCTGTCGTTCTGTCCCTGGCCTTCATCGGGTATTTGTCAATTCAGGTAACCTCCACAAAAAATTTTGGACTGAACCCTTTATTTGATCTACAGGAAGTAGATTGTTTACATTCTGATGACCATATCTGGGTATATCTCATCTTGTTCAGACGTAGACTCAGCAGAAAGGATGAGCAATAACTGAGTAATATTAAATAAGAACAGGAGATATCTTTAGACATGGTCAGTGGAATGAGAACAATCTAACCCTGTAAATTAAATAAAGTGTTCAGTTAAAAATTCTTTAAAGGTGACCTGGATTAACATGCACTTGATGAAGGCTGGTAGGCAAAACAGCTGAAACAGAGCAACAACAATAATGATGACAATAGTCCACATGTAAATAAAGATTTTAATAAACTAGATTAGTATATTACTTATTTTAGTACTATTTATTTTATTAAGATATATTTAAATTAAATCATTACTTATTTTATTAAAAATCATTATTTTTTTTATCATTATTTTAAATGGGGTAGCAGGTGTTTCTCCAGTTTGCTTGGTTTTCAACAGCAAGTTCAAACTCCTCTATAGGGATGTTTGCAGCAATTAAATTGCATTTAAGTTTATCCTTGAAGCGTAACCAAGGACAGCCTATATTATACTTACCATGAAAAAGTTGGCCATAGATAAGGATTTTTGGCATCCGATCATCACTCATTCTGATGACATGACCAGCCCATCTGAACTGTGATTACATCAGGAAGGATTCAATACCACTGACACCACATTTGATGAAAAGATCAGTGTTAGAGATTTTGTCCTGCTGTGTATAACCGCATATTGAACGAAGACAGCGTTTATGAAAAGCATAAAGTTGATTGATACGTGTCCTGTAGGGCCTCCATGATTCTGACCCATAAAGAAGTGTGTTGAGAATTTCCATTTCCTCATTTGTCAGAGGGATTGTCAGTGGTCAGGAATGAATGTAAGCATTACTGATAGAATAGGGCTATTATATGTATAATGTAAATTCATTGCTAATGATTTTACTATAGGAATGCATTGAAAATAAGGAAGAAAGGGATTGTCAGTGGTCAGGAATGAATGCAAGCATTACTGATAGAATAGGCTATTATATGTATAATGTAAATTCATTGCTAATGATTTTACTATAGGAATGAATTGAAAATCAGAAAAGGTATTGTCAATAGTCAGGAAGTGAGGTCATTATTATTTGCTGTAGTACAGGGGTTAGCAAGCTTGTCTGATGGATCAATAAAAATGGTTGTGGTTTTGATCCTCACTGGGTGCCCAAATTTGAGGCTGTCAGCAATAAATTTCCACTTCCCAAGCTAAAGATCTTCCCACCCTTAGAAACCCTCCCCTGACGAGGATGGAGTCGATTACAGATGTTAAAATCACCTCCTCCTGTTAATAGCCCATGGAATCTTGTCTAAAAGTTCTTACCTCTGCCGTGAGCATTCTGTGACTGCATTCATTGACTGTACAAAAGATTCTTCGTAGAGCATGCTCGATTTCTGGCAGCATCAAAGACACAAAAAAGCCAAACCTATAGAAGAAAGTGGAATTGCTGATTTTGAAAAAATTTCAAGTGGTATGTTAATCATACTTACAAGGCATGGTAGAGTAATGGATAGCAGCTTGGATTGAGGAATTGGAGAGCTGAGTTTGAATTCCACTCAAATCCATTACATTCATTTATGTGCTAATATACTTGGGAAAGGTATGAATCCCCTTCTTCTCCCCCCCAGCTATGGGTAAATAACAGGATAGACCGAGTTCTATAGCCTTGGATGGCAACTAGTCGACTGCAGAAAGAAATGGCAACCTACTGCAGGGAAAAAATCTGCCTCATCAATCATGCATCGAAAGATACATTCTCACCTAAGCGTGTATCACGCATGGCACATAACTGACTGATATTCACTTACGTGCTAATACCCTTGGGAAAGGTATGAATCCTCTTCTTCTCCCCCAGGTATAGGTAAATAGCAGGACAGATCGGATTCTATAGCCTTGGATGGCAACTGGTCTACCGCAGAAAGAAATGGCAACCTACTGCAGGAAAAAATTTGCTTTGTCACTCATGTAACATGCGTGTATCACCTATGGTACATTTTTACTGACAAACAAGCAATAAAGCCACTGAGATGCAATGGATTCCTGGTGTGTGAAAGAATATGAGAAAAAGGAAAAACATTAAGGAGAGAGGACACTAAAAGAACAGGAGTTAAGAAGGCAGATGATAACAATTGACACTGCATTTTTAAGAAAATTTTTGACTGGAAAGTATGAAGCTGGAAGAGAGTTCCACAAGCGAGAAGTATGATAGAAGAAACTGCTAGCATAGAACTTACAGTTATATCAAGTAATTTCAACTGTAAAATGATGAGACCTTGCCATCAATCTAGTGCTGTGCTTAACTTCATGAAGAGGAAATCTCATCATGAAAATATTTAGAGAGAAAGGCACAGAGAATGGTGGTGGGAAAGTGACTCAGGCTGAGATGCCATGTCAAGACTGAGAACATTGCAGATTTATCTTTGCATTTCATCAAGAATCTCTAAATACATCCTAGAAGCACCAGACCAGATGTGGCAGCAATATTCAATGCATGGAGGAATGGCGGACTTATAAATGCGTTAGAAAGATTCTGGTGAGTAAAATTGTCTAGCATGACACAGTGAGTCAACTTTCCTAGCAAGCAGACCTTGTAATTAATTAACATTTGCCTTTTAAGCCTCATTTCAATTTCCAAATTAAGTGTGCACTGTAGCATAAAAATAAATGACCTTTATTCCCCAAAACATTTTTATAAATAAAAAAAAACAGAAATTCTGAATCTATGTTACAAAAAAAACAGCTGATTCTCTGTGCATCACACGTGACTTTGCATGCACATATTTAACACACACATATATGGTATAGTAATGGATAGCGTCTTGGATTGAGGAATTGGAGAGCCTAGTTCGAATTCCAGTCGAATCCATTACATTCACTTACGTGCTAATACCCTTGGGAAAGGTGTGAATCCTCTTCTTCTCCCTCCAGCTATGGGTAAATAGCAGGATAGACTGGGTTCTATAGCCTTGGATGGCAGCTGGTCTAGGAGAAGGACAACTTTGAATTCAAAACCTGCAGAGGGGTGTTTGGGGACCCTGCGGCATGTAGTGCACCAGGTCTCTGTATTCGGTCCTTCAAAAAGTGTGGATGGTCCTTCAAAAAGTGTGGATGGTCCTGCACAAAACCTTCACCACTATAATCAAATCTCATGTGCCGTTTTCGGGCTGTTGGTTTCATAGGAACTGATCTGCTTGACTCTCATATGTTGAATCTGATGTGAGTGTCAGTGTGTATGTATATATATATATATATATATATATATATATATATATATATATATATCTGTATTATGCATAAATGATTGATATGTTTCTGTGACATTTAATGTACACAAGCCCACCAGTCATGTATATTCACTGCCAGCAATAATTAAAAAAAAAAAAATTCCCAGACAAGATATAACAATTTTTCTTTGGTCAACAATGAAACATGCAATCTTGTAAAATCCTGGTGAAATATTAAATCCTAGAAGCTTTATTAAAATT